CTTTTGAAAAAACAATGTAATACACTGTAAAGTTATATGTAATCCAGTGTAATATAAAGAAGAGTATGATGATAATAAAAATAATAAATAAATAAATAAATAAATAAATAAAAAGATTATAGTCCACCCTTCAATAGTATTATTAAAATCAAATTTAACAACTCTATAACTACAATAAGTTACAATCAAATCCAAATGTTTACAAGAATAGTTACAGAAAAATAAAAGTGTTGAATGAGGAAAGATAGAAAATTATGTACAAGGATGAAATCAGTAGAAATTAGAGTAATGATAAAGATTTCTCAGAAAGTCCAATGTTTACTTTTATTTTTCAATTGAGTACGGTTAAGAAGGCCTTTAATCTTGGAACCAGCAGATGGCGTGATGGTTACATTGCTGGGGACCTATACAGTTGACCATGGTTCAAGTCCCAGACCCGGCAACTTAAATCTCATGCCGGGTGCATGTGTGTACATGCCCAAGATCCTGGGAGGAGAAGAGAAGAGAAAGTTCTGCAGCGTGAGCATCCCACTTGAGTGTGTGTGTGTGTGTGTGATTTCTTGCTTTCTGTCTCTATATATCTGTCTCTCCAGTGAGTGCACGTGCACTATAGCAAAACTCTCTCAAAAAAAAAAAAAGTCTTTAATCTTGACTGAACTAAATTGTCAAGGGTTAGAAACCATGGGAACAATGAAGACAGTAAGAACATATGGAAGCAATCCTTGTTCTGATAACATCACTGAGTCATTGGAGGAGCAAACCAAAAACCTCGATATGCAGTGATCCAGAGAGAATGGGCTTGGTGTTACCTGCAGCTAAAAGCATTCTCCCTAAATCAGTGAGGTAGATAATCTGGGGGTCCAGGTATTACATTACAGGCAGTCTGACTCACAGCAAAGGTGACATTTTCTTCAAAGGGACACAAGTGAAAAACTTGGGAAAGAAAATGCTGAGCTCTTGTTCTTTCTCCAGATGCACCTCAGTGTATGCAGTGTCCAGCTCAACAGTATCCAAACAGTGAGAGAAGTCGCTGTCTCCCCAAGAATCTAACCTTTCTGGGCTATGAGGATGCTTTGGGGATGGTTCTGGGCTTCACAGCTCTGTGCCTCTCTCTGGTGACAGTTGTGGTTTTCGGGGTGTTTGTGAAGCACTGAGACACTCCCATAGTCAAGGCCAATAACCGGGCTCTCAGTTTCATCCTGCTCATTTCTCTCCTCCCATGCTTCCTCTCCTCCTTCCTCTTCATTGGCCGTCCCAACACAGCCACCTGCATCCTCCAACAGGTCACATTTGCACTTGCATTCACTGTGGCAATTTCCACCGTTTTGGCCAAAACCATGACTGTGATTTTGGCATTCAAAGCTACAATGCCCAGAAGAATACTGAGATACTTGCTGCTGTCAGGGGCCTCTAACACTGTAATTCTCATCTTCTCCCTGATCCAAGTGATTATCTGTACAATCTGGCTGGGATCCTCTCCCCCTTTTGTTGACACAGACTCGCACTCTGAGCCCAGAAGCCTCCTCATTCATCATCGTGTGCAACAAGGGCTCAGTCACTGCCTTCCACTGTGTGCTGGGCTACCTGGGCTCCTTGGCCCTGGGGAGCTTCGCGGTGGCCTTCCTGGCCAGGAACCTGCCTGACACGTTCAATGAGGCCAAGTTCCTCACATTTAGCATGCTGCTGTTCTGCAGTGTCTGGGTCACCTTCCTGCCCGTCTACCACAGCACTAAGGGTAAGGTTATGGTGGCCGTGGAGGTCTTCTCTATCTTGGCCTCCAGTGCAGGGCTCCTGGGCTGTATCTTTGCCCCAAAGTGCTACATTATTCTGGTAAGACCCAGTAAGAACTCTCTGAAAGGTTTTAAAAAGAAATGTCAGAGTAAATAAGTATCCTGCCATTGTACTCCACAAATCTCAATCACATTTTTTAGGGACTTAAGGAAAAACCAACATGATTTTGCAGTCCAATATTATAAAGTAACTGAAAATAATTTACCTTTATTCAACCACCTCTTTTAAAGTCTATGTAAAACTAAACTCAGCAAGCCATCCAAGTCTACAAACTCAAATGGAATCTCAGCTTAATGGTTCTCCTTGAAATTTTTGTACTGAAATAATTTTTCAAATTTTGGGCATCTTTTTATTTTCTTTATATATTTGTTATCCTTACATTTTCTGTAAGACTTTTGATTATGTAAGCTCAATAAAGTGTCTACTTTCATATCTGGTTTATTGACTTGCATTTGCTCTCTTTTTCTAGGATAGCTGATGTAAAACTTTGTCAGTTCATTGCTCTTTTTATATCGCCAACTAGTGACTCCCTTGATGTTATCTATCTATGGTTCTAGCATTCTATATTTTATTTATAGTCAGTCGAAATTTCTATCTGCTAGGTTTAGAGTTAGCTTAGTACTCATTCTGTGTTTCCTTGAGGTATAGGTTTAGTTATTGATTTGATATGTTTTATCCTTTCTTGAAATATCTTGAAGAACATTTTAGGTTTAAATTTTTCCCAGAGCAATGATTCCATGACTTCCCACAAATTTTTATATGCTTGAAATTTCCTTTATCTTTATTTTCCAATTTCACTTGTGTATTCTTTTTCCTGCATGTCAGTGACACAGAGAGAAAGATAGTGGGAAAGAAGACAGAACACACTACCCATTGAGTTCCAATGTGAGAATCCACCCCCAGTCTCAACAGTCCCAGCTCATGAGCACACCCATGTCTGGCATACTAAGAAAGGTCTCCAAAAAGAAACCCAGAACTTGCGATATGACTCAGCATTGCCAATCACAGCATTTTACTGCTTTGCCACCATCTGACCCTCATGTATTCTTTAAATCATTGGTTGTTTATGAGTATGTTGCTTAATTTCTTCATAGCTGAATTGTTCAACAATTTTTATTTCATTTTTATTTTTATAAAGCAAACATTGCAGAACACTTTTTTCTACAGAGAGACTTATATTCCTTAGTTAAATGTATCTTCCCTTGGCCCCTCCCTCCCACCCCTCTCCCTTAACAGGCTCTGGTATCTACACATATCCTCTGTACTATCATATCTTCAGATATTTCCACTTCTGCCAAGGAGTGCAAACATTCAGCACATATTGAATGGGCATATATTTTCTCTTTCAACATCTGGCTCACTTCACTTGACATTAAGTCCTCTAATCATGGCTATCTCTTCTGGGGGATACTTTCTTGCTTTCTGTCTCTCTCTCTTTCTCCAGCAAGCAGACAGCTTATAGCAAAACTCTCATTCAAAAAAAGGAAAAAAACAACACTCATCTTCCCTTGGCCCCTCCCTCCCACCCCTCTCCCTTAACAGGCTCTGGTATCTACACATATCCTCTGTACTATCATATCTTCAGATATTTCCACTTCTGCCAAGGAGTGCAAACATTCAGCACATATTGAATGGGCATATATTTTCTCTTTCAACATCTGGCTCACTTCACTTGACATTAAGTCCTCTAATCATGGCCATCTCTTCTGGGGGATACTTTCTTGCTTTCTGTCTCTTTCTTTCTCAAGCAAGCAGACAGATTATACCAAAAATCTCTTTCAAAAATAAAGGAAAAAAAACACTCATAAAGGCACTTGCACATCCATGTTTATTGCAGCATTATACACAATTGCTAAGACATTGAATCAGCATAAGTGTTCAAATGCTGATGACGGGGTTGAATGACTGTGGAACATATACACTACAGAATATTACTCAACATATGAAACAGTAAGGTCCTATCACTTGATTCAAATTAGAATTAAAAACATAGTTCCAATCAGCAGTTGCAGACCTTTGTGAATCTGGGCCTCCATTTCTGGCACACCTGTGCTTCCCAAAGTGCCAAAGATAGAAGATCACAACCAGGATATACCACTATGAAAAAGAATAGTCACACTTGCAGCTGTTTAAGTTTCTCAGACCCACTCTGGCCCCACATCCATCACCCCACAATCAAAATAACATTATGCCCTGAAAGGAAACAAGGCTCTGACTGGTAGACGGTCCAGGAAAGGCAAGGTTGATGAGGCCAGGGGAGAAACATCACTGTCCATGGGAAATTGTCCATGAGATGCCTAAAGCTTTCCCAGGAAAGAATGGAAAAAGGCCAAGAAGAAGATCACAAAAGACTATTTGGTAATACCCCTTACACTACATTTTTCCCCCTTTTCACTTAACATCTGACACACCATGGATTTATTTTCCTTCACTCTTTACTCTCCCTACCCCTCCACACTAAAACACATGACCTGTAAAGGCAGATAATTTTGCCTGCTTTGTTCACTCCATACCCACAGAATCTAAGTCAGTACCTTAGTAGGGACTCAGTGGTATGGGCTCAGTGAATGGTTGAGGTATACATACATGAATACACACTATATCTAGAAGGAGAGAAGAGAAAATTTTAACTCTGGGCAAAAAGACTGGAGCAGAGGAATGGGAGTGAGAACATTTGACCAATTTTGAACTGCTGAAGTTTCCCTATACATGTATGTATATGTGGCCTCCTCTAAGCAAATCTTAAAGTCAATGAGCTAGATTTGTATCTACCAACTTGGAAAAAGAAGTGGGAAAATTATGCATACATTTTAAACAGAGATTATGAAGATCAAAAAATGAAGAGCCCAAAATGTGTGTATATTGTTGTTCTAGGAGGCAGTGTGAATGTGGACAAAGGAGAAAAAAAAGTTTAGAGTTTGCCTGCTACCTGATCTGTCTAGGGATGCACATCTTCAAAGCTGACTTCTCAGTTTTGGTCCTTTTTTATTCGTTTTCTTTTTTCTTTCTTTATATTATATTGAATCACATATATTGTGCATTACATTTCTTTTTCCAGCACTATTACCATGCATATCCGTCAAGCAAAGACATTACTATGCACATCATCATCATCATCAAATAGCTTTTCATCATTGTTTCCAGATTGTTATTTATTCTCTTTTTTTTAAACATTCAGTCATTGTATCACTTGGATTATAGGAAATAATTTACTCAACATGACACAGTCTTTTTCTCTTGAGCCTGTAAATGTAACTTATTCCACACCCAGCTACTGCCTTATCTTCACCCACGAAACCGGGTATATTTAGCCCCGCTCTCACTCAGTCCCGCCCACTCAGTTCCATCCATCATACCTGGAGCCCACCATAGGCCCCACATCCGGAAGTGGTCACTGCCCACATCCCCAGCTTTCTAGCTTGGCCCCTGCCTACAACTTCCGTGCTCACATAAGCCCCACTCACCTGGCGTGGAACCGCCCACAGCCCCGCCCCCGGAACTGGTCTCTCACTGTCAATCCCCGCCACCAGGCCTGGCCCCGCCCACAGCCTGGCTCCTTGGCCTGATCTCGCTCCTGAGGCCTATCTGCCCCTCACCTCGTTGGTCCCACCTAGAGCCCAACTTTGTACTCACTGAGCAAACGAGAAAACCTCTGCCAAGGATGGGGTGTTCGGTCACAACTCCAGCTTCTCCGCCTCAGTGAGGAGCTCGCAGCCGCCAACTCCATGCCGGAATCGGAAGAAAGGAGCGCCCGCCGGCAACAGAAGAAAGTAGCACCCGCCGGAAACAGAAGAAAGGAGAGCCTGCAGGAAACGGAAGCGCCGTGCGATAATGTAGTAGAAGCTGTTGGTGGCTGCTGACCCTGTTTGTGTGCGGGAGCTCGTTGAGTTCTGTGCGGTTAAGAGACTCAGCCAGCCGCGGGGGTGAGGAAACGCCTGGGG